CTGATAGCAAACATTTAAATAAGGTATTAGAAATCCAATTCTTTATCCTGCACCTTCCTCAACATCTGTTTTAATGTTTTGGTAAATCTTTCAACTAGCCTGTCACTGTCTGTGGGTTATACACTGAAGTACATAATTAGGTCACCTTAACTTGTTGCCGACCGCAGATAGCCGAATGACAGCTGCACTGCAGCCGGCCAGTTCTGAGTGGACGTCATATGACGTCCCCCCAGAACGCGCTCTCCTGCGCGCCCCAGGGGGGCGCGCACCCGGCGATCTCCGTGATCGCTCTGTCGGACACAGCTGATCACGTGATGTGGTAAAAGGCCAATCACAGCGGCCTTTTAGCACCTGATCAGCGGTGTCCAATGACACGCTGATCAGAGGAAAATGCAAGTGCCGGTTCTCGGCTGCACTTTCCTCACGCTGTGAGATCGCGAGGAAAGTACTGCCGAGAACCGGCAGTTGTCAGAGCGGGGATCGGCACCGATCATCAGGGCATTGATGATCAGTGCCCTGATGATCGGTGCCCAGCAGTGCCACCCGCAAGTTCCGCCCACCTGTGCCCAGCAGTGCGCCCACTAGCTCCGCCCACCTGTGCCCAGCAGATCACCCACCTGTGCCCAGCAGTGCACCCACCTGTGCCCAGCAGTGCACCCACCTGTGCCACTCTGCAATGTCACACACCTGTGCCCAGCAGTGCCACCTACCTGTGCCCAGCAGTGCCACCCACCTGTGCCCACCCACCTGTGCCCACCAGTGCCACCCACCTGTGCCCACCAGTGCCACCCACCTGTGCCCACCCACCAGTGCAGCCCAGCAGTGCTGCCAGTCAGTGCCACCAGTCAGTGCCCAGCGGTTGTGCCAGTCAGTGCCACCAGTCAGTGCCCAGCAGTGATGCCAGTCAGTGCCGTCTATCAGTACCCATCATTAGTGTCACCTATCAGTGCCGCCTATCAGTGCTGCATATTAGTGCCGCCTATCCGTGACACCTCATTAGTGCTGTCTATCAGTGCCGCCTATCCGTGCCACCTCATTAGTACTGCCTATCAGCGCCCTTTAGTGCTGCCTATCAGTGCCCATCAGTGCCGCCTATCAGTGTCCATCAGTGCTGCCTCATCAACGCACATCAGTGAAGGAGAAAAATTACCTGTTTGAAAAATTTTATAATAGAAACAAAGAAACTTTTTTTTTTTTTTTTTTTTTTTGGCAATTTTTTATTTATAGCGCAAAAAGTAAAGCGCCCAGTGGCGATTAAATACCACCAAAAGAAAGCTCTATTTGTGAGAAAAAAATGATCAAAATTTCATATGGGTACAATGTTGCATGACCGCGCAATTGTCAATCAAAGTGCGGCAGCGCTGAAAGCTGAAAATTGGCCTGGTAAATAAGGGTATAAGTGCCTGGTAGGCAAGTGGTTAAGAAGCTTAAGGCACCCCATTTATGTCTTTGGACATAAATGGGGTGCCCTGGGTGGTTAGTACCCCTTTAGGAATGGCCACATGGCTGAAAACCTGAAATAACACTTTGTCTATTGATTTGGCCGAGGTGCTTAGGAAAGCAATCGCTTCTGGATAACGGGTGGCATAATCGATTATCACCAAGATGTGCTGGTGCCCTCTAGCAAATGTCAGAAAGGGGTCAACTAAATGCATGAAGATTCTCTCAAAAGGAACTTCAGTGATGGGAGGGGAACCAAAGGACTATGGAAATGTAGCATTGGTGCACAGATCTGACACACTGGCCAGGAAGAACAGTACATTTCCACTATGTCACCCAATGTGTCCATGAGCTGTTCTCACACTAACTTGCAGTAAGGTTTGAGCACCACCAGTTGCTCAATGGTTTCCTCCGCCCTCTGTGACACCCGGTATAATAGGTCCTTTTCCAGATAAAATATGAGAGGGCAGTTCTCTCTCTGGGTTAACTGATTTCCCATCTACTTTCAACACATTCTCCTGTGACCTTAGTAATGTGGGGTCCTTCAACTGTTTAAAGGCAAAATGATTTCTGTGTACTTCTAAATCAGCAAACGCTAATGGTTGATGTGCCAGCGATTCCCTATGGTGGGCCTCTACCTGTTTAAGGGCTTGCTGCTGAGTAGCCAAACTCATTTGCAGGGCTGCAAGGCTTTGTTGTTGAGCTTGATGTTGGGCTGCAAGGCTCTGTTGTAAATTTGCAGTTGTCTGCTGTTGATTTGCATTTGCCAGAGCAAGTTGTCTCAGTAATTCCTCCATGCTGGCCTTACGTTACCTGCCTGCTATCCTTCACCATATGTGAGGTTATTATCTCAGCAGTGGGTTGTGCGTGGCTTCCTGGATGAGGTCACAGCACAGTGAAAAGGTACAGATGACAGTGGAACTTGGTAAAACACAAGTGTGGTTTTATAAAGTCTGTGTCCATAAAGCACAGGCATAAAAACAGCAAAATAATAATAACAAAAAAACAACAAAAAACAGAAAATAAATCCTTGCCAAACTGGACAGCTAACGCCAAACACTGGATCCTAACTAACTGTTGGAGCAACCTACTGCTGCCCAGACACCTGACTGTCACACAGAAGAAATCATAGTCTTTAGTCACACAGTCTTTTTTAACATACTATCACCAGAGCAAGTGTATTGTTACTATGTTGACACAGTACAGCTACTGTATGTGGGTGATCAGAGACAAAAGCAGACTGCTCTGATGACACTGTGGGGTTTATTTACTAAGGCTGGCCATAGACGGGCAGTTTATCGGCCGATAAACGAAAAATCGGTCGTTGCTGCCATGGATGCTGCCACCAATGCTTACGAAAAACGGCCGTTTTTCGTGGATTTTCCAGCATGACTGATAAAAAGAAACGAGAAGATCCGCGAAAAACAGCCGACGGCATTGCCCCACTAACGGTGTGAATATCGGACGATTTTTCGTTCGGATGAAAATTCGGATGATAAACGACCCGTCTATGGCCTGAATAAAGCTGGAGAGTGCAAAATCAGACTCATTTTTGCGTAGAAACCAATTAGCTTCCAGGTGTTATTGTCAAAGCTTATTTGAACAAGCTGAGGTTAGATGCTGATTGATTTCTATGCAGAAGTGAGTCTGATTTTGCACACTCCAGCCTGAGTAAATAAACCCCTGAATGTCTTTGATCACTGCCATAGCAGTACACTGTTACCATAGCGACACTGCACTGCTCTGGTGACAGTATGTAAAAAAACAAAAAGATATATAATTATATTTTTTTACAGATATTGTACTGCTGTGGCTATTGATCACAGGCTATTGCAGGCTTCTGTCTTTGTCTACATGTGTGATCGGTACGTCCACCCGCATCAGGGAAGCTCCCATTCAGAATTTATACGTAACAGTCTGACAGGAAGCTGTTAAATGTGCTGTTTTTTTTATACCAGTATTAAACCCCAAAACAAAAATGTATTAAATTGCAGCTCAACAATTAGATATGGTGGCTGCATTAGTTTAAGCCTTTTTCCTCCATTTTCCCCTGGTGATCCAGCCAGTAAGTCTGTTATTGTTAAACTTAAGTCCAAAGGTTCACATACTTTTTCCTCCCTGCACTGTGAATGTTTACATGTTATGTGCAATTAAACCATGGCAACATCTAATGTTTGTGTTGTATTATGTTCAGCAGACTGTGTTCTTCTATTGTTGTGACTTAGATGACGTTCAGAGCACATTTTATGCCCAATTCATGCAAAACTCCACGTAATCTCAAGGGGTTCACATACTTTTTCTTGCAACTGTATATATATTACAAGTATGTGGTCTCTTGAGACAACTACAGTATAACAGCCTAAAATGTAAATGTAGGGCACATCCATGAGCCCCCACATTTGTCAAACCGTTTTGGAGAATCATGTGAATTCCACTCAGAAAGAGATGGAGGAGAGGATAATTTCCAGGTCAGAAGTTGAAATATAGTAACATTAAAGTGTTACTAAACCCACAACAGTAATAGCAGTCTGTATATGCAGTAAATCATGCTTGCTATACTCACTTTGGAAGGGGTTAATCCTAAGGGGTTAATCCTCCGCATTGTGTACAAATTCTGTTTGATCCTGACTTCTCTGACCCTCCCCTTCTTCCAGTGTCCCCCTCGTATCTACTGATAAGACATATCGTGTGGAGACACTCTGCACATGCTCAGTTTGGTGTATATTGCTAGATAGGTTTTTTTTTTTCTTGGGAGAGTGCACGTGATCAGCACAATGCCAGTTAGCACTGTCCAGATAGAGGTCAGGGGTTTTGCATCTTAGAACAAAATGAAAACTCCTCCTACAAGATATAACATGTGCTCTGCTGAACACTGATAAAAGTCACAAGACTGCTCTAACTGCTGATGAGAAAAGGTATTTAGCTGTTTATATTTACTAAAATAATTGCACTTCCATGTTGTGTGTACTCTGGGAGACCAGATGTAGTGAATGCAGGGTCCTGGGTTTAGTAACACTTTAACCTCCTCCCACCCACCATATAAGGTAATGACAGGTGCAAGGTGGTTCTCTCGTTCTGGGAGGACATCATATGACATCCTCCCACTCTAACCGCACATGCGTGGTGATCGGTGGTGCGCTGTGTCCCTCGAACACAGGAGATCACCGATCAACGGAAATAGCCAAAGATGTCGGCTCTGTCATATGATCAGCTGTGTCCAATCACAGCTGATCACATGTAAATAAGGAAATGCCGGTTATCGGCATTTCTCTCCTCACGAGATGGCACGCTGACAGCTCGAGAGGAGAGGAGAGCCGGTAATCGGCATTCCTCGGAGGGGACATCTATACTGATCATCAGGTCACTGATGATCAGTGTGCCCTGATGATCAGTGTAGCCCCAGCAGTGCCACCTATCAGTGCCCATCAATGCCACCTGTCAGTGCCCATTAGTGCCACATCAATGCCACATATCAGTGCCTACCAGCGCACATCAATGCCACATATCAGTGGCCATATGAGCTGCCTTTCAGTGTCGCCTATCATTGCCAGTCAGTGCCACCTATCAATGCCAGTCAGTGCCACCTATCAGTGCTGCCAGTCAGTGCCACCTATCAGTGCCAGTCAGTGCCACCTATTATTGCGCATCAGTGCCCGTCGGTGCTGCCTATCAGTGCCGCCTAACAGTGCCACCTAACAGTACCAGTCAGTGCCGCCTATCAGTGCTGCCTATCAGTGCTCATCAGTGATGCCTGTCAATGCCCATCAGTGCCACCTACTAGTGCCTCCTCATTAGTGCCCATCAGTGCGACCTATCAGTGCCCATCATTGCAGCCTCATTACATCAGTGAAGGAGAAAAATCACTTACTTACAAAATTTTATAACAAAAACAAAAACGTTTTTTTCCCAAAGTTTTTAGTTGCTTTTGGTTTGTTTAGCAAAAAATAAAAAGCCCAGAGGTGATTAAATACCACCAAAAGAAAGCTCTATCTGTCTCAAAAAATGATAAAAATTTCATATGGGTACACTGTTGCATGACTGCGTGAAAGCTGAAAACTGGCCTGGGCAGGGAGGGGGTATAAGTGCCCTGTAGGCAAGTGGTTAAAGGTACATTTATAAAAAAATAAAATACTGGCTGTGACTGACAGGAGTGGGAGCCAATAGACCCAAGAAACCCATGTGAGCAACTACGTTTGTGCACATCGCTGGATCGTGATCAGATTCAAGTAAGTATTAGGGGGGATTCAAGCAGAAGTGTAGTCCGTAAATAAGCCAAAGGTCGGTAACAAGTGGTTGCAGGTTTGGATCAAGGAAAAGTGTAGTTGAGAAACAGGGCAAAGGTCAGTAACAAATAGCTGCAGTTTAGAATCAAGCTGAAGCATAGTCAAGGAACAAGTCAAAGATTGGTAAAAAAAATTGGCTGGAGAGGAGAACAATATAATCTATCAAACAGGAAGTGCAGAGATGGGCATCAATCAGGAAGTTCTTGGGAGGGACAAAGGATTTAGGATTAATCAGAAACAGGACACAAAGCAAGGTCCAGTGAATAAGGCAGGGAGCTGTCCAGCATCTCAGGTGGCACAGTGAGCAGAAACACAACCAGACACCACGGAGGTTCCAGATTCAGATCCAGGTCCAAACAACTGGGAATGTAAACAGACCCCAGATGTTTCACTTTTGAGAAAGATAGAGATTGAAGACACAGAATCCCTGATCTTTGCAGCATAGTACTTGCTAATGAATACAGAGGTGCTCAGTACAGAGCACTTCTGTGTCCCTTCAGGAACAGAAGAGACAGTAAACTTCATGTTTACTATCTTTTCTATTATGAAAGAACAACAGCACTCCTGTGTTCATTCAAGGGGCTAGTAATCAATCCTCTGCTCACCATCCTGAAGCATCTAATCTTCCCCACTGCACATTTATACCTGCTGACAGGCAGCAGGAATTGGAGGGCAAGCAAGAGACACTGAGGGGATCAGATCGGCAGTATAGAGTCAAAACAAATAGCCACAGGTAGGGAGGTGGGGATCACAGCTATTTATTTAATCAAGAGAGTCTAGGGGACAGTGTAATGGAACCGGACTCTGACTGCACTAGGGTATTTCCGTTAGACTCCCGCTTCCCTGTCCGAACACCAACCACGGACACCACCGCTGGCCATACAGGAAATAGACAGCACAAAACTCGTCTTAAAACAGGAAGTGGACTGCTTTATTTTTACACAGACACAAGATATAAACATTTAACCAATTCAATACCGGGCAATTTTACACCTTCCTGCCCAGGCCAGTTTTCAGGTTTCAGCGCTCTCACACTTTGAATGACAATTGCGCGGTCATACAACATTGTACCCAAACTAAAATGTTATCATTTTCTTCACACAACTAGAGCTTTCTTTTGGTGGTATTTAATCACCACTGGGGTTTTTATTTTTATTTTTTGCTAAATTAACAAAAAAAGACCAAAAATTTGAAAAAAACACGTTTTTCTTTGTTTCTGTTATAAAAGTTTGCAAATAAATAATTGTTCTTCATAAATTTAGGCCGAGATGTATTCTGCTACATGTCTTTGGTGAAAATAACCCAAATTAGGATGTATTTTTTAGTTTGTAGGAAAGTTATAGAGTTCACAAACTATGGTATAGATCTGAATATTGATCAATCCTGAAGTACTGACAGCCAATCTAATTTCTTGAGGTCCAAGAATGTCAGAATAGTACAGATATCCCCCAAATGACCCCTTTTTGCAAAGTAGACAGTCCGACATACTTCATAAGAGGCATGGCGAGTTTTTTGAAGTTGTATTTTTTTTGTCATAATTTTTCAGAAAATGAAAAAAATGAGTTTCACTATTTTTTTTTACATATTGTCACCAGTGCAGTACAACGTCTTCATATAACTGGCATGGCGGTGATCAGGGACACTGACTGGTGACAGTATGAAAAAAAAAATATATATATATTTTTTTTTACATTTTTTTTATTATTTTTTATTTTTTTAAGATTTCTTTTTCATATTTCACTATGACCAAAGTAGTACAATGTTACCATAGTAACATTGTACTACTTTGGGGAAGTGATCAGTATTTTTTTTTTTTTTTACACAATTTGCTTATAGCAAAGAATTTCTTTGCTATAAGCAAGCATTTACCTGAATGACATCGATTCATTCAGGGTTTTTTTTTTTTTTTTTGTTTTTGTGCTTGGCTGTGATTTGGCCACAGCTAATCACATGACATGTGCAGGTGATTAGCGGTGACCATTCACAGCTAGACACTAGTATACAATGGATGGCATGAATGAAGCCATCCATTGTATACAACTGTCATGTGACCTGCTGTGATTGGTCACATGGTACGGGCAACGGGGCGGATACTCAGATCTGTCATTGGCCGTGTCCGAGGTACACGGCCGGTGAGAGATCGCGCCGCTGCACTGCTCTGCAGGAGCGCAATCTGTGCATGTGCGGGAGGACACTAAATGGCGTCCACCCGGAACGCTGATGACATTTGCCGGCCGCCATTCGGCCATAGGGCGGGCGGCAAATGGTTAAGGGAACAACCCACCTCCCTGCATAAGGACACAAGGCGGAGCAAACCAACTTTAGCAATCAGAGACACATCCCAACAGACAGTCCTATCAGGAGGGCTGCTGGAAACACCCCCCACCAAGTCAATACACAAACACATAATAGAACAATGGGACCACATGGCAGTGAGTAATGAACAACCCTCACACCAATACACAAACATTACATCCCATAATAGTTTGCTAGAACAATGGGATGCAGCTGCATGGCAGAGAACAATGAACAATCCCAACACCAATATTATTTCACCCTGTACTCCTAACAGGCACAGGGTGCCTTAGACATAAGAGGAACAGGAGGAGCTGAGACAGGGGTCCCCCCACCCCCAAAAGTCACTCCCGTCACAGACAGTTTCTTTATAAAGTGAGGGTTGATCACCGTGTGCTTGTAGCAGAAGGGAATGCAGAAGAAGTACTTGTAGGAGTAGTGCGCTGGCCTGCCACAAGTGGTCTTGTTCCAACATAAGCGCAATAAAAGGGTTCAAAAATTGCAAAGAAAGCCAAAAGGTGCTCCAAAATTTAATGAAACCTTTGACAGGAAGAGGTCAGGCAGACCCAAAGTCTAAATGGAATACAATAACAAGTATCAAGTTATATCTGAAAAGGGTGGCTACTTCAAAAATTAAAAAAATTAATTTTGCTAAAACAATTTCATTTTTACCTCTAATTGTTTATAAATATTTGTTTATACATTCAGACATTAAACTGCAAAAATTCTGTGAAAAAAAAAAACACTGAAGTTGTGGTGTTCTAATAGATAGATAGATAGATAGATAGATAGATAGATAGATAGATATCAGGTCTTCTGTGGGGGCCCACTAACATGCTCTTGGTGACTGGTGTTCTTTGTGCTGTCAAACATGTTGGCAAACTAGGGGAACAGTTGTACGGGAGGATGACGTTTTCTTTTAAGGATGTCTTCACCACCCAGAGCTCAATTGCAAGACAAGGACTTGGGCTCTTGTAAGTAGAGGGGTAGTACACTAGTGAAAAAGCAGATTTTAGGAAAGGTACTAAGCTGCAAAGTAGTCAGTACTCACTGAGGCTGTGGCATGGCAGTATTCTGCTGCGCTGGAGTTAATCCCTTCCTGTGTTCTTTGCTTGGTAAGGAACAAAGTGGACCATATGGAAGGATAGGGCCCATGTTTACAAGCCCAGAGATGTGTTCGGAACAAACCCAACCTGCTCCTGTGTATTATACACTGGAATAGGTAATCTACAGGAGACCACACTGAATGCCCACACAGCAAAAGAGTTGGAAACAGCTGGAAAAATGGTTTAGATAAACCTTTTAACCACTTGCCTACCAGGCACTTTTACCCCCTTCCTGCCCAGGCCAATTTTCAGCTTTCAGCGCTGTCACACTTTGAATGACAATTGCGCAGTCATGCAACACTGTACCCATATGAACTTTTTATAATTTCTTTGAGACAGAGCTTTCTTTTGGATGTATTTAATCACCTTTGGGTTTTTTATTCTTTGCTAAACAAACCTAAAACAACTGGAAATTTTGAAAAAAAGTTTTTTCTTAGTTTCTGTTATAAAAGTTTGTAAATAAGTGATTTTTCTCCTTCACTGATGTGCGCTAATGAGGCTGCAGTGATGGGCACTGATAGGCTGCACTGATAGGCGGCACTGATGAGGAGGCACTGGTAGGTGGCTCTGATGAGCATTGACAGGCATCACTGATGGACATTGAAAGGCAGCACTCATATATGGCACTGATAAGTGGCACTGACTGGCACTGATAGACGGCACTGGCTGGCACTGTTACTGTTAGGTGGCACTGAAGGGCACTGATAGGCGGCACTGACTGGCACTGATTGGCAGCGCTGATAGGAGGCACTGACTGGCGTTGATAGGTGGCACTAACTGGCACTGACAGGTGGCACTGAAAGGCAGCTCAGATGGCCACTGATATGTGGCATTGATGTGCACTGGTAGGCACTGATATGTGGCATTGATGCAACATCTTCAGCTCTTTCCGTTGATCGGTGATCCACTGTGTCCGAGGGACACAGCACACCACCGATCGCCATGCTGCGCATCCCCGGGGGCGCGCACATGCCGTTAGAGTGGGAGGACGTCATATGACGTCCTCCCAGAACAAGAGAACTGCCTTGCGCCTGTCATTTCCCTATATGGCAGGCGGAAGGCGGTTAAAGTATAACCCCAATGCCAAAAAAGCTGGGACTGTTCCTAAAATCTTCAGAAAAACAGAATGCAATGATTTGTAAATCTCACAAACCCATATTTTATTCATAATAAAAATAGAAAACATGTCAAATGTCTAAACT